TAGACAGCTGATTTTTGTGTGCTGATCTTATATCCTGCAACTTTGCTGACTTCTCATGAGTTATTTTGTGGATTTTTTAGAGTAACATCATTTGAGAATAGAGATAGTTTTACTTCTTCCTTTCCGGTGTGGATGCCTTTATTTCTTCTTGCCTGGTTGCTCTATTTAGGACTTCCAGTACCATGTGGAACATAAGTGGTGAAAACAGGTGTCTTTGTCTTGTTCCAGATTATTAGGGATAAAATTTCAGCTTTTAGTCATTCATCATCGAGTATGATGTTGCTGTGAGTTTTTTTTTTATAAACACCCTTTATCAGATTGGAGACATTCTCTTCTATTGCTAGTTTCTTATTAGTGTTTTAAACCATGAAAGTGTGTTTGATTTTGTCAAATGCTTTTTATGCATCATTTAAGATGACTGAGCTTCCTCTCCTTTTGTTCTATTAAAGTGGCATATTGGGGAGGCGCCTGTGGCTCAAAGGAGTAGGGCATCAGCCCCATATGCCAGAGGTGGCAGGTTCAAACCCAGCTCCCGCCAAAAACTGAAAAAAATAATAATAAAATAAATAAAGTGGCATATTACTCTGGTTCATTTCCACACACTGAACCACCCCTGCATGCCCTTGGTTATATGGTATACAGTCCTTTTACTATGATGCTGGATTTGGTTTGCTAATAATATTCTGCTGAAGATTTTTATATCTAAATTCTAAAGATATTGGGCTGTATTTTTCTTTTCTTGTAGTAGCTTTGTATGGCTTTAGTAGTAGGATGATGCAGCCTCATAGAACGGTTCTGTTTTTTGGAAGAGTTCAAAAGGATTGGTGTTAATCTTCTTTAAATGTTTGGTAGAATTGATCCTGGGCTTTCTTGGGAGGTTTTTTGATTCCTGATTCAATATCTTTACTTGTTATAGGTCTGTTGAGATTTTCTATTTCTTCTCAAGTCAGGTTTTAAATTCTTTGCTTCTAGGAATATGTCCTTTTCATCTAGGTTATCTAATTGGTTGGCATATAATTATTACTTATATTCTCTTCTGGTCCTTTTTTGTTTGTGTAAGGTTGATAATTGTATTCCCACTTCCATTTATGATTTTAATAATTTGAGTCTTTTTTCTTAGTCTAATTAATGTTTTGTCAGTTTTGCCCTTATTTTCAAAGAACTAACTTTTCTTTTCATTGATTTTCTGTATTTTTCTGTTCTTCATTTCATTTCTCTCGGCTCTAATCTGCAGACATTGAGTGTAGTTTGGTTTTCTTTCTCCAGCTCCTTAAGGTGGAAAGTTAGGTTACTGATTTTAGAGCTTTTTTTATATAGGCACTTACAGCTATAATTCCTCTGAAAATTGAGTTCTTTGCATACCTAATTTTTTGTATGTTGTATTTTAGTTTTCATTTTTAAGTGTTCCAGATAAGCCTTATGTTTTCTTCTTTGACCTACTGATTACTTAAGAGTGTGTTACATGATTTCCATACATTTGTGCATTTTCCAATTTTCCTTTTCTTACTGATTTCCAGTTCATTCTGTTGTGCTTGGAGAATAGACTCCGTCTTATTTAAATCTTTTAAAATTTATTAACACTTGCTCTGTGGCCTGTCCTAGAGAATGTTCCATGTGCACTTGAGAAGAACGTGCGTTCTCCTGCGGAGTGCGGCATCCTGCGAGTTGGTTAGGTCCGGTGGGTTTGTAGTGCTGGTGGAATCCTCCTCCCTTACTTATCTTCTATCTGGTCGTTCTGTCCATTATCAAAAGGGTATATTGAAGTTTCCAGTTATCATCTCAGAGCTATCTATTTCTTCCTTCAATACTCTCAACTTTGTTTTGTATATTTAGGGGTCCTGTGGCTGAGTATATAATTGGTTATAATTCTATAATGGTTATACTTGTTACATCTTGCTTACAGGATTTTGAAGGATCATTTTGACTACACAAAATTTCACCCAGGTCCGTGACTCACTCGCCTTTCAGCTCAATGCAGTGACAGAATTTATAATCTGTCCCTCTCTTTACTTTCACAAAAAGATTTGGGATGTCTTATAATGAGCTATTTAGGAAAGTAAATGAAATATAGATTTCACATGATTTCTAATAACAGAGAACACAATAATTTTTTCTCTTTTCCTCACATGTGAAGGGAGGGAAAAATCGATATACTAAACTCTAGGACAGTGGTTCTCAACCTTCTTAATGCCACCACCCTTTAACACAGTTCCTCATGTTGTGGTGACCCCCAACCGGTTGTGCGGGTCACCACAACATGAGGAACTGTATTAAAGGGTCACAGCACTAGGAAGGTTGAGAACCACTGCTCAAGGATATCATAGTTAATGGGACTGATCGTCTGTACTTCCCTGAAGACAAGGTAGAAAGTGAAATGAGTTGTATCATTTCAGTGTCTCAGAAATGAAATTACTACTACGCTTTATGAGGCTATCCAGTTCACTTCCCTACCTCCAGACTCTTAAATTCCAACATGTCTGTGTAGATGGCTGTCACTTCTGCAATCAGCTCCTGCCCGTCTCCACTGTAACTGTCACCTCCATGGCTGCTCATGGTGTCCAGCACTTACTGGGCCATCCTCTCACGCTGGGTGCTCTCTGACAGCCCTCAGAGGGGAAACAGCTGGCCCCTGTTCCACAGGAATAAGAGGACCTGCCTAGGCCTGGCCGAGTAGTCCAGCTGAGTTAGCGGCAGACATCACCTGTGCCTCTTCCCGTGGCCTTTCCCATTTGACAAATGGAAATACTAGAAACAGCAGAGTCCCCACTGGAGGTTTTTCTTCCAGAGGTTTCATTTTCTGGAAATCTAGGAAATCCACAAGAATGGCTGGGAGCCCTGGGTGGTTTTTTTTGCAAATGTCCATGGCCACTTCTGGTCTCCTGACTGGGCCTGCTGTCCACACTGAGTTCTTTCATAGCAAACTGGTCCACAGCAAATGTCAGGTGGTGGAGAAAAGTTTGGGGATATGTCGGTGAGTACCACAAAGAGTGATGGCTGGGGCTCGGCGCCTATAGCTCAACCAGCTAAGGCGCCAGCCACGTACACCTAAGGTGGCGGGTTCGAATCCCCAGCCCGGACCCGCCAAACAACAATGACGGCTGCAACCAAAAAATAGCCGGGCGTTGTGGCGGGCGCCTGTGGTCCCAGCTACTTGGGAGGCGGAGGCAGGAGACTCGCTTGAGCCCAGGAGTTGGAGGTTGCTGTGAGCTGTAATGCCATGGCACTCTATCCAGGGGGACAGCTTGAGGCTCTGTCTCAAAAAAAAAAAAAAGAGTGATGGCTGGACTGTGTACTTGAAGAGGTGAAGGGAAAACTCCCCTGTAAGCTTGGCACCTAAAACTCCTTGGCTCCTTGCAGAATGTTAACTGAGAATGTTTGGAAGCCAGGCACGGTGGCACATATCTACAGTCTCAGCAACTCAGGAGGCTGGGGTGGGAGGTTGCTTGACCCCAGAAGTTCAAGATCAGCCTGCCAGTGTAGCAAGACTCTGTCTTTAAAAATAATAATAATATTAAAACAAGAAAGAGTTTTGATGGGATAACAAGAAAACAGGGACATCTTTACTGTGGGGGCATCGGTACACTGCAGGTTACATTCTGGGAGGAAGGAGCTGTTTGAGGCATTGAGCAGAGTTCAGTAAGCACCAGACTTACAGCTCAGGTTTAGATTTCAACCTGAGGTCACCTCACCGCCCAGGATGAAGTGCAGGGACCCTTCCGACCTTTGGCGTCTTTAACTCATACCTGCATTTCCACACAGACGGCTTTAGCATCTGACCTCAGCGTCTGGACATTGTGCCCCCTCCTCCCTCATTACGTTCACCTGCTTGGGTCCTAGAGACATTTCAGTTTGCTTTAGATGTTCCCTAATCTGAACCTACTTCATATTAGCAAATACTCACATTTCCCAGTGGGACCCAAGGAGTAAAAGTTAGAGTGGGGCCAGTTGGAGGTTCTTGGACAGGCAGGTAGGCCCTGTTTGGGTCTCCATGCCCAGTTTGGGGTGAGAGACCCTTGAGTTTGAAGCTTGCTGGCCGCTGACTAGCCGTGTCAGCATGGAGGATATTTAAAATCTCTCAGCTTCACCTTCATTACTGGTAAAGGGAAGATGATAACATTAGCACCCACCCACCTTACGGGTTCTTGTCATGACTCAGAGAGGTGACACGTGCTGCCTGCTGGAATGTAGCAGGAACTTGGCCTGTGATCTCTAGCTGTGCTGTCCAATAGGGTAGCTCACACCATGGGAACCTGCCAGGCTGATGGGTGCTCTCACGTGGAAGTGACAATGGAGATGTGGGGATTGCCCATTTAGAAGGCAAAACAATGTGGAAACTGATCCAGGTCCCGGCCCTTGTCTGCTGGGTCTAGGATGGATACTCAACCACTCTCTGAGCTCAGGTGTTAACCCTCCACAACGCTGCTAGGACTCTAGTAGTGAAAGACGTAATTTAACGTGAAGTTTCACAAACACCATGCTGTTTACACTGACAGTCAAATGTCTTGCTGAGTTTAGAGCTGTTGAGTATGTAGACTAGCTTCCAGTTAATACTGCATCACCTTGAAAAAGAAGTTTCAATTGTAAGAAGAGTGCGTCATGACATCTGGATGGCGTCTCTTTACATCTTTAAAATGGTACATATATAAATGGTCACAATGTCTGGCAAACACAGACAGAAACCAAAGGAATGCCATCTTCATTCATTGAGGCACCTGACTATAACTCACATCCAGTTATCAGCCAGCATTCTTAGCTGATAATAAAAACACAGTTAAAGGGAAAAGAAATTTGTCCTCTGTAAAAGGATTTAAATAAAATCACTTTCCCTGAAATGTCACTGTCTGTGCTTACAGACGCCATAGTTTGTTTATAGGAAATACAATTGGTTTAAAAAGCAAAACCTCAAAATAGGAACGTAGGAAAAACTCCAAATGATCAACGACTATCAACTGCTTATAATTTGCTAGGAATAATCCACATATCCATTAATCACTCCTTACCTCTTTGGAAGCTAAGATTTGGCGTAACTCTTTCCTGAGATCAATAAAACGATCGTGGAACAGGGCCATGCACCACGACTCCGTGAAGTAGCTAGTGAGGAAAAGCGAGATTCAGTGAGCTGGCAACCCTCCTATTACCGCTAATAAAGTATTTACCTGCTTTTTTGCCTTTCTAAATTACAGCTCTGGCCCCATTGCAATCGTTTGCTCATGAAATGCCCCGTGGAACAGCCGGGCCAATCAATTTTTTAAATGGATGTTCCTGCTGGAAGGCCAGCTCCCATAATTACATTTAAAGTGGTTTAATTCAGAGCTGGGGCAAGACCCAGTGAAGAATCCTGATTTTATCAGAATTTAAAAGCCTGAAGACTTGTAAAGAACGGTGTCTCCATTATCTGCCCTCGTTTGAGAAAAACAGATTGCAAGATTAACTGAACTGCTGCATAAACAGATTAAATTTGGGTAGACGGTAACGCAAGTGTTGTTCATCATGAAGGTTTCTGGATTAATAATGACCAGAAAACCAGCCGCTGTGGTGCTGCAACGTGGTCTCCACACAGTCGGCTGATGGTTAATTGAATCTCCTACCGGAGAGCCGCTCTTTGAGTGTTTATATTTGCTTAACTTTTCACTGAAAAAAATGGAATGAATGCTTTGTGACACGAGAACAATATGGCCGTTCTGATTACAGGTGATTACTAAAAATTTGATGGATTCCTAGAATAACCACAAACATTTATTGGTATTTTAAACTCTTCCATTTTAATTCTAAGTATTTTGGAACAGGACCCTCAACTCCTCTTAGGGTCAAAGCCATGTTGATTGTGTGGGTTTTGTTTTCCTCTGGTTATGAACTTGTTCCTGCGATTGTTAATAGAGGTCGTGTGTGTGCCCAGGGGAGCAAGAACTCGGTGCCCGTGTAGATGAGCATCTTCTGTTTTCCGAGACTTAAAAGTTCTTAGAGATGGAAGTGAAGAGCCAGGAGCTGCTGAGGCATTAGAAGACACACTGAGCTGGGTGGGGCTCAGCCTGCGACCAGCACTCTGGGAGGCAGAGGCGGGTGGATTGCTTGAGCTCACGAGTTGGAGACCAGCCTGACCAAAAGCGAGACCCTGTCTCAAAAAATAGCCAGATTTTGTGGTGGGCCCCTGTAGTTGCAGCTACTTGGGAGGCTGAGGCAAGAGAATTGCTTGAGCCCAAGAGTTTGAGGTTGCTGTGAGCTGTGACACCACAGCACTCTACCCAGGGTAGAGACTCTGTCTCAAAGAAAAAGAAGACCCAACATCACGGGGCTGGATCAGGACAAGCACGGCACTTGGCTGCATCAGTCGTACCCAACAGCTGCTCACGGGACCAGAATGTGACACAAAACCCTGCCGAGTCGCCTACTTTGTGTTCACTGCATGAATCTGTCCAACTGTTAACACACTGTCTTTCCTCAGTTGCTGAAATCCCCGTGTTTGCTTCCGTGGTACCATCAGAAGTTTGGGGACCTGCAGCCACATCGTCCAGGTGGCCACAGCCTCTTCCTCTCTGCTCCCTTCTCCTTAGCTAGGCCCTGTTGCAGGGCCCCGGCGCTGTTGGGTGGTCCTCCGCCCCACACCCCACAACTCTGCAGCTCCTGGCGCTGTGCTGCCCACTGTGACGTCATTCCCTGCTTCAGAGGGGGAGCCTAGGGACCTTCCATTCCCTCTGGAGTACACGGCCGATGCCCCCGAGCTCTGGCCCTCTGTCTGAGTGTCCACGTGCCCACGGCTTCTGTCCCACAGAATGAGTCTCGCTGCTCTAAAAACCCTCCATGCTCTGCCTGTCTTCCCTTCCCTCCATCCCTCCCTCTGAACCTCTGGGGAATTAACGTTTATTAGAGAAAAGGGGGCCATGTGACAAGGTCTATAAAATAGTTTTAAAATCCTATAGTGGTCCAGTACTTATTTCAGAAACAGAGTAATGAGCCTGGTGTGGTTCCGTCCTGTGGCTGCTCGTTGGAGCAGTAGTCATTCTCTCCGTCTGCCTTCTCTCCCCCCAAATGTGTGCCACCACCTCATGGAGGATTGGTGGACATGGACACGAGCCCCTGGAGGCCTCAGAACTATTTTTTCAATTGTGAACTAAGGGCCGACAAAGATTATCCCTCGAAGGTGGATAATGATGAAAATGGGCGCCAGTTATCTTTAAGAACGGTCCGTGTAGGGGCCGCTGCAAAGGCTGAGTTGCACCTTGTGGAAGCAGAGGCAGTGAGCTGGGAAGGCGGTCTGGGTAAAGTCACACTGGAGACTTTGAACATGTCTGGACAGCCAACCGTTTCTCCTGGGGGCTTTGAAATAACACCACCTGTGGTTTAGGGCCTGAGCGTGTCAGCGGGCAGCACTTAGTAGCTGTGGGAAAAGATGCAGAGGAGGGATGGGAAAGTCTTAAGTATGTCTGGAAAGCAATCCACCCCTGGAGGTGGTAGCAAAGTTCCACAGAAAAAAGTAAAACTTGCTGCTGCTGAAGATGAAAATGATGATGAAGAGGATGATGATGACGAAGAAAAAGCTCCAGTGAAGAGATCTGGGTGAGGGCAGCACCTGTGGCTCAAAGGAATAGGGCACTGGCCCCCTATGCTGAAGGTGGTGGGTTCTAACCAAGTCCCGGCCAAAAACTGCAAAAACAAACAAACAAACAAAAAAGAAATCTGGGTGAGACACTCCAGCCAAAATGCAGAAAAATCAAACCAGAATGGAAAGGATTCAAAACCATCAACACCAAGATCAAAAGGTCAAGAGTCCTTCCAAAAACTGGGAAAAACTCCTAAAACACCAAAAGGACCTAGTTCTGTAGAAGACATTAGGCAAAAATGCAAAAGCGAGTATAGAAAAAGGTGGGTCTCTTCCCACAGCGGAGCCAAGTTCATCCAGTGTGTGAAGAGTTGCTTCCGATGACCAACCAGGAGGCCGTTCAAGGTCTCTGGCAATGCAGGAAGTCTGTAAGAAAATACTTTAAACAGTTTGTTAAAATTTTCCATCTTATTTCATTTCTGTAACAGCTGATATCTGGCTGTCCATTTTATAATGCAGAGTGAGAACTTTCCCTACCATGTTTGATAAATGTTGTCCAGGTTCCATTGTCAAGAATGTATTGTCCAAAATGCCTGTTTGTTTTTTGAGACAGAGTTTCACTTTGTTGCCCTCTGTAGAGTACGTGGCATCATAGCTCACAACAACCTCCAACTCCTGGGCTTAAGCGATTCTCTTGCCTCAGCCTCCCTAGTAGCTGGGACTACAGGCGCCCGCCACAGTGCCTCCTTTTTTTAATTGCTGTTTTAGCTGGCCAGGGCCGGGTTCAAAGCTCCAACCCTCGGTATATGGGGCCTGTGTCCTACCCACTGAGCCACAGGTGCCACTCACCTGTTTAGTTTTGAAAGATGGAACTCCAGCCTTCACTTGGTCTTAAGTATGTATGGGATGTTATGATAGGACATTAGTAGTAGTGGTGGTCAGACATAGAAATGGTGGGGAGACAAAAATATACATGTGAAATAAACTCAGTATTTTAATAAAGTAACAAAAGAAAAAGAAATAGTGTTCTCTCAATAATAAAACATGGTGCCAGTCAAACTTGCCAGCAGCACCTAAGATGAATGGACACGTGGGTGGCATGAGGCGGGGAGCTCTGGGTGCCCACAGTGGCTGGTCCGGGTCTGGGAGAGACCTGCTTGGTGAGGTCACAGCTCAGCCTCGGGCTGCCTTTCTCTCCTGTCTGAGGAAAGCTTCTGCACCAGCTACAGCCACTAGGTGAGGGTGGGAGAGAGGGGTCTCCTCCTCTGTACACTGGGTGCCCTCCGGGCCCCGCTTTCCTCCCTTCTCCGTAGAAGGGAGAGGAGCACCCCATATTCTCACAGAGCTGAGGGCAGGTTTCTGTACCAGAGGCTGCTGAGTGCTCTGACATGATCAACATCAGCCATAAGCTTTTGGGAAATTTGTATTTCTGTCAATATTGTGAATTTATAAAGTAACAAAACATTGACTTCTTTTCTAATTCATTTTCAAAAAAGACGCTTAATAGGAGCCACTACGTAACCTATGTTGCTGGTTGTCTAGAAATCTTCAGGAGAGAGCTGGGAACATAGACCACGAGGGCGGGAACTTCTGGTGGAACCAAGCATGGGGGGTTCCAGCCCTGAGGAAGGACTGTGTGTGGGCAGTTGCTTTATAAGCAGCCATGTGCACGTCAGCACCGGTCCCACCACTGTCATTTCTGTACAGCTGCGAGGAAAAGGCCACGGAAAGTCTCTAGGACCTAAAGGGAAGAGACTGCTATCTCCCTGCATTTTGCCAGTGGCTGGCCTGGCTTATCTGGGAGGACATAAACTCTTTATCACTTTTGCAAATAATACACTTTTCTTAGAAGCCCCAGGAAATGTCGACTCGTGGAAGTGAATTAACTTTTTCTGGTCAATATGGACCAATCGTTAAGCAATTGATTAGACTTCTCCAGAGACTGCCCTACCCTCGTCACCCAGGCTGTTTTATCGACAGACCCATGCAGACCGGGTGGGATCTGGGCGGCAGCTCAAAGCCGCTCGGCACAGCACCCTGGAAGAAGCTACAGGAAAAAGCACGACACACATGTCGGGGCAAAGAGGTGGCTGGAGGGTGTCCTTTAAAGGCCTGGATCTTAACTGCAAGGTCAAGGCTTGTCTGACAGAGGAGCAGGCAGGGAGAGGTGTGGAAGCCAGATTCCCCGGCCTCTGAATGGCTCCGCTGGCACCTGGCAAGCTGCAACAGTTAGCAAAAAGGAGGTGGGCAGGCAGAGAAGAAACATTTTTCTTTTTCTAAGATTTTTGTTTTAATGAAAAGCATTCTAATGTTCTCTTGGTATAATAGTAGCCAGTTTTTCTTTTAGAGCTGTTAAGAGGATTCCCCATCTGCCACTGACACTGCAGAGTTCTGCTCGCCCTGAAACTCAGAGTCGCCTTTTCTCCAGGAGGGGAGAGCAGCTAGGGTGGCCCGTGGGCTTCCCTGACAGTGGTGCAATGTGCTTTCCGGGACAGACAGACCTTAGATTCCTGCAGAGGGCAGACAGTCTTCTCCTAAGATGCCTGGCTCAGTA